ATAACATTTGGATTTACCTTGGGCTAACATTTTCAGATTCTGTCCCTATGTATACACATCATAGTGGCTTATTAGGAAGACTTCTATCACTGCAATAAGCTTTACAATATTACTCTTAAGAGATTTTATTTCTGTAATTATATTGAAGACGATGAATGAAATTATATTAAACAGACCAATATAATAAATTTATAACTCCTGATGAATAGAATTTCATTCAGTCAACATTTGTTACAAAACATTCTATTACTCCAAAGTATAATTACGGTTCTCATTTCCATGATACATTTCATCGAAACAAACACATAGGGGTCGGGAGGCTTTTTCCGGGAAAAGACCTCAATTGTTAAAATGAAATAGGTGAAGAAATGCAGAAAACGTACAATTAATCCTATTAAAGATTATTATGTTTAAAGACCTACAGAAAAAGGTTAAAAATTCATATTAACCTATTTGATGCTGATTCAAAGAAAATATGTCTCATACATTAGAATATTGCTATTGTGTGGTTAATTCTAAAATGAAAGTTAACAAAAGGTCATTTAAAGATAAACTTATTTCTTAATATAAATTTACTTTTCCTACAGCGGTTTATGGAGAGAAAAAGGTACCCAGAGTTGTAATTGCAATTATTACTACATGTCTTCAAAAATACGATTGTAGAGGGAAAAAATATTCGCTTTGAAGCATGTGCTATTACATGTAATAAGGAAAATGTCTGGAATTTTCTTTTATCTCAGAGTGGTTCGGTCACCTAGTTACGAGTGACCCTGATAAAACATACAGATGCTGAACACAAAAATTACGTCAGCTAAGATTTTCATTTCCATTTCATACTTTGAATTCAAACTCTCGATACTATTTTTAATGCATTTTGGACAATAGCGTCATTAAGGGACATCTCCATCGTTTAACAAAAATACCATGTATTCATCTCTCCGTTTGGACACATTGATCAAAAGAAACACAAACTCATTGCCAAATGCATTAGGTGAGGAAAACTGAAGTGGTACCTGATAATAACGAAAATCACAATCGGTGAAAGAGAAAAGCTAATGACAAGCTAGCTGATGAGATAACTTCTGGTATCTCAGTAACGAAATAATACCGAGGAAGCAGGTTAAAAAAAAGAACATTTTTGGTTGATATTAAATTCTGTCGTTGTCTGATTGTTTAACATACAGCTACATGGGTTGATAATACTTATATTGTTCTTAGCTCTGTTGTACGCAAAAGTCTGAAAGCATGAATTTTAATTATGAACAGATTTTTTTCTTTCATTCATCCTTACATTCACCACGTATGTTACTGTTGGTTTGTCATAATTCGTTTCTTTGCAAATATTCGTTAAGATATACTGGTTGATTTAAAAAGTTTCAGATAAAGGTGATAATGTTACCTATTTAAAAATAAGTGATATATATTACCCTTTCGAATGGTAATATCAATAGATGTCTATAAATATATAAGCGACAACTCAGTTTATTGTCATATTTAATTTTTCTGGATTGTTGCAGGCTATATTAAACTGATAAAAATAATCAGACTAATGAAAAAGCTTCCTTTTATGTTTTTAAGAGCACCAAAAATAAGGGACATTTATTATGTCTGAATATTGGGAATATTGGTAGGTTTAAAGATACCAACCTTTCCTTTTTGAATAGGATTTACTAAGAATCAAATTTAAGCATTAGAATGAGATTAAAAACTTAAATTTTGTGTCAGGTGCACTTTGAATGAGAAAACATTTCGAACTTTAGCAAGAAGAAGCAGAATAACAGAGTTGAATCATATAACCTCAAAATTTAAAAAAGCTTAATATTCAAGGAAACATGATTTATTTTGTCTCTTGATAATTTTATGACGTTAGATATTCATTTATCTATTAACAATATTCAATTTCTATTCATACATTGATCAAATATACCCCACCGAACTCGAAGTAAGACACCACAGACTTTGATACATTTGTTTCATATTTGAATATTTTACAAGAGAAGAGAATGAGCAATATACAATTTTCACCTGCATATGGAGTTTTATGTTTCTCAATTGATTCGATACACAAGAACATGCTCTACGTATGAACAATTTCTAAAACGAGGCAGGCTATTGACAAATAAGTTGATGATACATGGGCATCAACAATTTCCTTTCAAGTCAATATTTCGCAAATTCTATGGGCCATACAATGACTTTGATTGCAATACAATCTGTGTCGTTGGGTCAACTGTCAACTGACATCTTTCATACAAATTGTTTTGCCATTATTTTCCCACTGGATTATTCCATTTACATGATCATGACAAGGGGTACGGCGGGTGGGACCAGTCGACAGGGTACATACTCCTCCATGGCACCTGGTAACATCTCTGTTTTTAGAGGCCCGCGTTGGCTCTGCTCAGCTCACAATTTTCATTGCTTATTTGGACTTTTGAGCATTTTAACTCTTTGATTGATCTCTTCAATAACTTACTCTAAAAATTAATGGCATTAATAAAATATAAAAAAAAAAGCACATAAAGGAAATTGTAATTCCGTAAAGTATTCTGTCAAACTTTGGACTCAAAATAAAAACCGAAATTAAAGCATTGCAAATCAATCAAACCATTACGAAGATTACAGACAACATTGTGATGGAATGACAACACATTTCAGAATCCATTGCAAAATACATGTATAGCCCAAAATGTTTGTCTGGTACTTTTCAAGAACCTATTTACCAAACGAACATGTCAAACCTTAAATTGCACCACAAGACAACAAGTTTTGATACCATCTGGGTAAATCTTAAAAAAAAGTACCTAACGTTATCAGAATTTTCCTCAATGTATGCACAGATAGTGACTGTGTTTCTGCAACTATTTCAAAGATGAATTAACTAATATATTAATCAGATCAATACAATAAATTAATAATTAGTATCTTGTTGAGTATTGTATTTTCAATCAGTCAATACTGTATTTGTTTCCAAATAATATAAACACCTATCTATTGAGTTTCTATTCTTCGTGGTACACATTTTCGTAACATACTTATCATACTGGACGAGTTCTTGACAGTGATTTAATTAAGGCGACTTTCTGTCAACTTATTCCACTGAAAAAAGATCTTGCTATAAAACAAATGAAATCGCAAAACGCACAATAAACCATTTCAAAACAACTAAATTAAATGTCCTACGTGTATAAAACATTTTTATGGCGGGAATACAAGCAAAATCCGGTAAAATCTTCGTGTTAACCTTGCTTGACATTGAAGCACAGATTCCTCAAAATGGGGCTTGGCATCAATAACTTAATATATTATTTTATGTGTTGTTTAATTCAACATAAGTAACAATGCCTCATTCATAAACAAATCAAAATCAACATTTCTTACAACGGATTATGAGGAAAAAAGGTTCCTCTGGCCGGTGAAGTTGAATTTGCAATTTCAAAAATACGTCTATAGAGAGGAAAAACGTTCGCTCTGAAACAAGTGCTTTTAATAAAAAAAGTTTGGGAATGTAGTGGTTTGCATTGGTCACCTATTTGAGTGATCCTGATAGAACATACAGATACCGTATACAAACAATTGTGTGTCGGTTAAATTTCATAGTGTGAGGGAAAAAACTCTCGGCATTATTGTAAAAGTGTATTTTGATTAATTGGATCATGAGGGGACATCATTGTTTTACAAAAATGAAAACCCAAACAATTTATTCCTTCTTCCATTTGGACACAATGATCAAAGGAAACACAAACTCATCGCCAGTTGTCTTTTGTTGATGAAAACAGACGTGGTACCTGATAGTAATAAAATCACAATCGGTGAAAGAGAAAAGCTAATGACAAAGTTTCCAGCTGATGGGTTAACTTCCGGTATCTCCGTAACAAAGTAATGCTGAGGAAGCGCATGAAAAGGGGGACATTTTGGTTGATATTAAATTTTGTCGTTATCTGCAGAAAACGAAGATTGTATAACATATAGATACACGGGTTGATAATACTTTTATTGTTCATAGGTTAAGTCGTACACAAGTCTAAAAGCATGAATTACATATGACAAGATTTTTCCTCCATTCATCCCTTATACCTTGCAGCAACTGGTTTGTAACAATTGCTCTCTTTGCAAATATTTGTAAAGATATACTAGCTGATAAAAATAGTTCTAGATAAAGGATACAAATTCACTGCTCTTTCAATCAACAGAAACATAGAAAAATGCCATATACATGTTACTTTTGAAGATGCAAATGGCAAAACTTATCTAATTACGTTATATGACTAGAGACAATGGGATGTGAACTGCGCTGACTTCATCTTATCAATGTTCTCTTACTGGCATGCATGTCGGACGAAGACCAGTATATACATTTAACGCGATCTGCATTTACAAATTATCTAAAACCATTCTTAAATATGTTGTCTTCCATTATCGTTATATATATTTTTTATATTGCTGACAACAGGACAAGCAAGGTAACCATCATAATTCGAGTAAGCGTGTCCAGATTAACGATTTGTCAAAGTTATTTTACAAGAACTGAGTAAAATATGCAGTCTACATCCATGGATAATTCTTGTTCTTTAAACCTGAATCTTAGCAAGACTTAAGTAACATTTAACAGAAATGGGCAAAAATGTACCATCTTTATAAAACTGTATTCAAAATTAAGGAAAACCTGCTTGAAAATTAATGAATTCTTTAAACTTTCATTGAGAGATTTTAATGTTCCATGTAAACAAACCTTGAGGCCGTATCATGGCCAATGGCCAAAGCTTTAAGCTCTTTGTACATGAAGTTGAACCTTTGTCTCTAGAAGTTCACGTTTTTGACCTTTTCTACATGGGATATAGAGCAGGCTGACATTACCTAAATCCGGCAATTAACTGATTAAGGATTAATTAATTAGCGACAATCACTGTTCAATGCTTTCAAACTCTTTAGTTTTTTATACAGCATTTATTCTTAGGTTCTGCTTGGGGAAAAGAACAAAAAAGCAAAAAGAAAAAAAATGCCTTTGATGCCTGTTGTTTATTTCAGTCTCATAACAATTTTATCTAATTCATAACAATTTACCTTCTTCATCCATTTGACTGGATCGAAAAAAGGTCGTTTCACTTTTACTCACAAGCCTATAACAAATGAAATAATCGTATAGATTTTTAAGCATACAAATATACTAAAACAAATGAAAAAGAAAGCCCTTTGTAAAAGAAATTACAATTTAAAATGGTTAGTAATGCATTAAGTTTAATCTCAAATTGATATTTTCCACTTATTTCCTATCTATTACGCTACAATATGGCTATACAGAAAATCTCTAAGTCAGAGAGGAATGTATTGATGTCATACAAAACATGATAAATGTTAACAGTAAATTGACCTACATGATATAACCTGACCACTGCTATATTGCACTAACAGGTACACAGGATACGGGACTTTGCTTAGTTTGATATTAAGTAGAATATACATTCAAATGACCACTGGTGTGAGTATTTAAAATACTACAATAATGACAAGCTATTCTGTATGAGGAGAAGACTTAACCAAACAATTTTGCCAAAAGCATATTTGCACAAAATGAAATATAAATTGCAGTTGCATATTAATATTGTGGAAACCAAAAAAAAAAAAAATCACTGAGTTAAAATCAAGATGATGACATCATAAAATCTACATCTAAGATATGTACATCTTCAATTAGCACACAGAGATTCTGAACAGTTTTCCCTTGTAAGATATAACACAAAAAAAAAGAGTATGTAATTCATGCTGCAATTAATTTTTTTTTTTGGATCTAGTGTGACAGTTCACTGGAAAATTAAAAATGGGACAGAAAATGATTTAAATAAAAGTTATCATGATTAAGTACTTGATAATCTATCATATAACAAAAATGCATTCAAATTATACCATTTTGATGACACATAAACCAATCAAGACAAGCTCTTGATTCAGTTTTATACCATATTCTAAGAACTGTTCTGTTTAGCTGAGTTAAGTATCTGAGTTTTGGGCCAATTTGCATTTCAGTACTTTTACACACATTCAGTTATTCAAATGTACAGAAAATACAATGATAAATTCTAACACTTCTAAAACAATTTACAGTATGAAACATATATCTTACAAAGTGTACATGAATACTCTGTACAACTGTATTAACTTAATTTACAGTTTATATATAATAGCTCTAATAAAACTCAAATATCAGTTTACATCACAAAGAAAAACGTTTACATAAAGCACCAATATTTTAGCAACTGTTCCTTTTCAACCATAAAACAATTATTTACATTGCAAGTCTGAATTATATACACAAGTATATATATAGGTACAGTCAATTCTATACCTGCAAGAAGGATATGAATTAAAATTGAAAATTGTTCCAAACACTGGTAAACTTTGTAGAAATTACTGGAAATAAAGTTAAAAAATGCAAAGTATGTTTGAAAAGCAGCTGGTTTAATATGAACTTAAAAAGTCATACTTGAAAAGCATTTTTTTTTTTTTTACATTTTTTTTTGTCTTAAAAGTTGAAAAGATTTTTTTAAAATTAAAATGTAGGATGAACTGGAACTGAAAACTGGTTCAAAAAGAGAAAAATAAAATACAATGATGTTTAAGATGAACGGCATATAATGAAACATAATCATATGAACTCCTTTACAATGCAGGCTGTCCAAAAACAGGAAAAGTACCAATTTATTGATTTGCATCATTTTGAAGTCCAACTTCATCAATTCTATGTGTTTCTACAAGCATGACATGCATGATTTGTAGATTATTAATTCTGGAATCATTTAAGTATCAAGATTTTTTACAGATGAATCCTGGATTAAAACAATGGTTCTAATGCAGACATTTGCCCTTGTTTATACATGTATGTGTATGGCATGTTTACGCAATCAAGCAGTACCTTGTACCAGTAAATTATTAAAAAGTTATGCTCCAATTGTTCAATACAGCCACTGGACAGTATTGTTTACTATATATGGCACTCTGATGTGTATCCATATTGCCCTGTAAGTGCTGCTACAAAGTCCATGGTACCAAGTCACTCCCTAGCTTTGAGGGCAACTCTTCTCCATTTTTCCTATAAAAAATAAACAAGATTCACAGTAAACATTATGCTGAGAAATTTGCCAGATGTAGTAAAGAGATGTGACACAGTGAAGGTGACAGATTATTAATAAAAGAATAATTAATATATCTCTATAAATAGCTCTTAATAATATAAATGTCACTTTATCCTCTTCATTATAAGTACATGTTATAGGCCATTTCAAATATTTACCAAATTGCAATAAAGAGTACAACATCATCAATTTTTCTTTTGTAACTTTTGTGAACTTTCTTTTATAGTTTGGAATATGATTTAAATTTCTATTTTTCCAAATTACAGTTAAATTTAGGTATCTTGAATACCTCTGAAATTGAAATCAAGATCTTTTTTGTGTATAATATATCCTCTAAATCTTGAATCATTATTTATCTCTAATGCCTTTCTCAGCCCCATCAAGTTCAAGATAATGGGGTTTTATCTTATTTATACCTCTTTTTTTAATCTTTTTAAATTTTTTGGCAGAAAAAGTATAAAAGTATTTTTTTTAATATGGTAGACCCCTTAAATTACTAATTGCTAAATTCAAAGGTCCCTAATTTAATTGTGACACATTATGAAATTCAATCATTCTTAATTTGTTACATTTTATAAAATTAGCATAATTTCCAGTTCTACTTCTAGCTGAACAACTCTCCATGCATGTTTGTCAGGTTCACTTGATGACTTAAGTACACATATATGTATTGCAATCGTGTAATCATTCACATATTAACTACATATTCTTTTTCACGCTTGTTTTTAACTACTATAATTTCTAATTATAATAGCTAATTTACTCAAATTTTACCAAATAAAGATTGGATTTGATGAAAAAGTTCACGTACTCTTGAGCTACATTGTACAACTACTTACATGTATCTAGTGTATATTTATTATATGGAATAATTTTCATACAAACACATATTTTGCCCTAGGCCCTCACATATATAATAAAAAGTCATATACATTTCAAACTTGTTACAAGTATAATCAACTATATGCACTGAATATAAGGTCAGGCCTACTTCAGAGGAGATAGTTTACCTCCTCTTCCCCTGGCCCAAGGTCAAGCATGGTCAGTGGTCAGTAATTAACCAAGAAGATGTCACTATTATGACAGGGTCATTCATGTTGATTTCTTGTTTTTACATTATTTTCTACGCACTTCATGCAACTTTGCAAGGATTTGGGTGCAAAAATACTGGCTTGAGTGAGTTAACATTATAATTTAAATCAATTTAGGTACGTATTCCATTCTTGATTACTGATTTTCTCTTTTTTAAAAATTTAAGCTATTTTAGACTACAATCAGGCATGAATTACCTTTTTTTAATTAATGGGCATTTTCAAGAAATTCCTAGAAAACTATGTTTCTATTTATATTTTATTAAAAAACTAAAATTAAATTAATGTTATCTTTTTGATACTGTGCAAGATATTAAAAGTACCACTTTTTACTTCAAAATTTTACAAGCTGAGCAGCACAATTTACTTTTCTAAATTGTTGTCTGTACAGAACTATATAACATCTGCTAATTATTACCCCAGTTCTCTACATTCAATTATTTTCAATGGCAGTACAGCAGTCATATAATATAAATAAATGATTAGTATCAATAAATAATAGGTTTATAATCAGGTTAATTTCCAATGCAATCTGCAAGTGTGACCTTAAGATAAACTTAATCCTGAAGAAAATGGGCAATTATACTGTCTGACTGCAGCTCTCACCCACGATCCTTTAATCCTGTGAAACTGAAAATCTGTTCAAAAATTGTTTTCCCCATATTTATTTCAACCAATGCCAGAGGATAAATCTTATTTGTCTTTGAGCAGGAATGCATATATTAAAACTATAGTACACTGTAAGTATCATTTCCATTTTTTGACACTTAATTACTATCATATATTGTCCAAATTCAGTTAAGTTGTGCAAGTCTTAAATTTTCCTCTCACCAAATTTTTTTTTAAATGATAGATATACAAAAAGGAGACTTTTATTTTCTAGTTTTAGTTTCAGTCTCTCTCAGGATGGTTTATTTACTCTCTTTATCTTATAACAGGCCAGTGAGTATTTTTTACAAAATTCTTCGTGTAGGGAAAGAAAATCGAGACTTTTACAGCACTTCTGATATTCTTTCACACTGTGACAAAATGTCACTTTTATTCAATAAATAAATTACAGTATTTCACTGTTGAAAATGCAATGAAGTGAATTACATTACAAAATTTTATTGTCATATGAAACCATATATTAGCCTTTGATGCTTTCCTTGTATCAATTAAATTATTCTAATTTCTTTGTTGAAAATATATTGTTTCATAAGAAATATATATGTATTTTCTGTCTTTTACATATGCAAAAAAGGGGAAAAAAAATTAATAAATAAATAAAAATTCAAGGATAATTTACAGAATTCAGAATTTCCAGTTTTTGTGACTATGTCTACCTTTAAAGCAATTATTAGGTATGGAATATAGTGGACATTTTCCATGGCCATAGGCACATTTTAATTGAATTTGGGCAAAAAAAAGTTCAAAATTCAGGAAAACATAATTACAAAAGTGCAGCAAATTATCCAAAGGATTCTGCTAATTTATCTGCTGACATTTTCACCGTGGCAGCTAGTCTTAAATCCAGTGTAATACAAATTAAATTTTCTACATGATTTCAATAATATGAATTAGCTTTTATGCTATATATTTTAATTTTGTAAAAATTGTTAATGGCAATTCAGTTTTGGGTTCAACTGGTTGATGCAAGAATAGTTTTTGAGTAATGATTAATGTTAGAATTCTTTCACTTTCAGCATAATTGAAATAATTATACATATGTTTTTAGCATAAACCAGAACTCTGGAAGTAAATATTTAAGAAATGACTTTAATTTTTGAAGATTCATGAGGACATGAACTACGACGCTTCTCGCCGGCATATTTCATGAAGCACATTAGCACTGCGCTTCATGATAAATATGCCAGTGTGAATCGTTGTAGTTCATGTATCTCATGAATTTTCAAAAATTAAATTCATTTCTTATATTTACATTATTTTTCTGATGAGAATCCATAAGTTATGCCATTCAACTGTCATTTTTTAAGCAAAACAGTTTGCACTATAGTTTTGACGTGAAGTACTGTATTATGACGTAACAATCATGGAGATATTCATGCTCATCTCATGGTAGTCCATGAAAAAATGAACAATCTTCTAATTTGCAAAGAATCTTAAGGAAAAATACTTGGAAATGTAAATATTTCTTAATGAAAAATAATTGAATGTGTAAAAAGTTAATAATCAAAGTACTAAATGTTCTGATACTCAATATAAAGGCTACTCTAATTCGCTGTGACTTGAGCAAACAATCATGATTCCTAAATCACATAATATTCTGAAGGTAATAGACTTATATTAAGAAGATGAAATTCCAAAAAAATATTAAGAACAGAAGAAACAATATATCAAATCAGGAAGTCCATTTATAAACAGAAAATTTTATGAATGAAGAAAGCTGATTTTCCCAAAAAATCAGAGAATAGGAATTTATCTTGGAAAAATCGGTTACAGATTTGCTCTTTTATTTCAGTCACAACTAGATACCATGTACCTTCTATGACCAACAATATATTATTCCACAGAGGAATTGCTAATCATGGCACTGCAATACATGGAACTGTTTGAAATGAAGCCTAATATGACTAGTTTAGAAAGCTCAATGGAAAACCTTACAACAGAAGAATTTGCCAAGATCATGGAATCCTTCAATGTGTCCGAAATTATGAAACTTGACACAAGGAAATACCTCGAAGAGCCTGTCGTTATCATTATGATGGTCTTGTGTGCACTTGCTCTTGGTACCAACATCATTTCTATTCTGGCTACAAGCCATGTGCCCTCCAATCTCTTTACATCTCACTTTCGGCTGATACTGAGCCTTGCTGCATCTGACATAATGATTGTGGTCAGCATTGTGTCTCACATTGTTAACAAAGTTTTGAATCCACCTCGCATATTCCACCTACATTCTCAAGAAGAGCGCCTAGTATCGTCTTGTGGATTTCAGCTTGTGGTTTCGATCAATGTCACTGCTCATTTGATATCCCTACTTAACCTTTTTGCCATGGCACAGGATCACTATGTGGCCATTATTAAACCGCTACACTACCACCACATCATGCAACCCAGTCGAGTTAATATTATGATAATTATTTTATGGGTTATTTCATTTCTGGGTGGATTTTCCAACTTTTATGCAGGAATAGGAAAACCTCCCCAATTTAAGGACTTCAACATATGTGAGCGTGCCCTGTATAGCAGCTATCAGGCAGAATATCTTCTTATTCTTCTTACCTTATTGTGCTTTCTAGGAATAAGTGTCATTTATACAACACTTTATTGCAAAATCAAATACCACAACAGCCTCACTGTGACAATGTCCAAAAACAGAATGCACAACAGGAAAGCTCTTGTTACCACTTTAATTATCATTGGAACATTTGCAGCATGTTGGCTACCTGGCATGATCTTTCAACTGTCCATGATCATTCAAATTCATATAGATGACGCCAAAATCAGAGAATACATTGTGATGTTCGTACAGGCAAATAACTACTTGTATATCCTTTTGCTGTGTAATTCTCTGTGTGATCCCATCATTTACGCAATTCGACTGCCTGAAGTCCAACTAGGGTACATCCGATTCTTGTCCAAGTACTCTGTAACTTTTAGGAAAATACTTCACAGGAGAAGAATGACTCAAACTTGGAGTGTCTCACAGACAAGGACTAGTGTGAATACTTTCACAGATGCAGGTTGTTCTCTGAATCTTCTTGAGAGAAATACAGAAAATGGTAACCTAAACAGTAGCGAATCAATTGAAAGTAGTTAATAGATTTTAATGCTAAAAATGTATGTTGAAATTTGATGTAAATTTTGAGAGGCTGCTGATCAACAACTGTATGAAGTAAAACTGGAAGCAAATGATAATGGATAATTTATACCCTTGTCAATTCTTGTAAGAATTTAACTTAAAATAAAGGTTTTTATCTGATTAAAGAAAAAACTAAGCTATTAAAAGTATACAAAAAGGCCCTTGGGCTGCAACACTCACCTGAGCTATAGCTCTTGTGTTCTTTATCAGCAGATTTTTTCCTACATATTTCTATGCCAAAATTAAGATCACATATTTTGGCCAAACCTACTCAAAGGTGTCATGATTTGAACAAACTTGAATCTACACTGCTTGAGGATGCTTCCATATAAATATGACTAACCATGGTTTTGCTGTTCTTGAGAAGATTTTAAAAGATTTTTCCTATAGTTTCTCATGTAAAACTTTGATCGCCTATTGTTGCCCCACCCAACTCCCAGAGGTTATGATTTGAATTTAATGCTACAGTGTATGTGAAGGAGCTTTCACAGTTCATCTCTTTTGGCCCAGTGGTTCTCTCCAAGATTTTTCAATGACCCCATGCAATTTTAATTATGTCTTAATTTTATCCCCTTGGAAGAAGGCGTGGCCCCACATTTGAACTAACCTGAATCCCCTTAACCTAAGGATACACTGTGCCAAGTTTAGTTGATATTGGCCCATTGGTTCTAGATAAGAAGATGAAAATGTGAAAATTTATGACAATGATGACGACAAACAACAGACAAATTTCAATCAGAAAAGCTCACTTGAGTCATCAGCTCAGATGAGCTAAAAAAGATAAATGAAAAAAATTATCCTAAAAATTTTTCTTTGTTTAGATAAAAATAAACATTTTGTGAGTTTTCAATGTTGAAACTATTCAATGTTTTATAGGACAATCAATAGGTATCAAAATGTCCATATGTAGTCACACTTTCTTCTTCCTCAAACTCCCCTTTTATTTTAAGCAGTAACCAATTCACCCTATAACATTTTAAATCTTTAATGAGCAGCTGTCTTCAAACTGTTCAACTCAGATATTGTTTACCTAATAGTCTACAGCTCAATGCAAACCAATGGTCATGCAGTCTTTTGCTTACAACTCCTACTGATATCTGATAGTCAGTTTGACAAAAATACAAATAATAGCTCTTAAAATTTAGTGAAGATGAACACGAAGGTCAACACTATAAATTAATTTACATATCTTAGGTACTGATCTTTAAAAAATCAGATTATGCCTTAATATTTTGCCATAAATTATACACTCCTGATGCACATTCGTCTTTGCAATTAGTTTACTTGGGTTAATTAAACTTTTAAAATTTTTGAGGTCATTAAAACTAAAACCAAAATAAAGCTTCCTTTCTAATACACTCCATCAAGAGAGACAACTCATATGATTAACACCGTTCTTTCTCCTATTCAGTGCATTTCAGATGATGCCAGGTTAAAATATACTGAGCATATTTTTTGTCACATGGGAGGTAGGCAGAATGTGATAAATGTACCGGTATTCATAAAACACAAAATATATAATAGATTTGGAAAACTATAACTATTCAATTACTTTTTATTAACTCCCGTTGTACTTGTAGTTAAACTATTTTGTTGAGAAATGCTGATATTGTGTTTCAAAAAACTTAATCTGGAAAATGCTGTAAAGAGAGTCTATATATGCATGATAATGAAATATATCTATGAATTATTATTAGACTTCTCAATAAGTTTTCAACTTTTTTTTTATTTTCTCAACTTAGCTCCTTGAAACTTTTTCTCAAACTTATCAACATTTTCACGCAATTTATTATGAAGAGTTTTAACTGAACACCCCATCAAGACAAAACACTGAAATTGATCATAATAATCAATATAGATCATATGACGATTATGCCAGCTTTCAAAAACTATTTTGGCATACATGACAGCATGTAAATTTTTTTTGCAATATTGTACATAAAGATTGATCCCTTAGTACCAATAACTAAGTTGTCAAACAAAGATTGTAAGGATTGGCCCTGAATGCGATCTAGAGCGATATCGCAAAGAAATCTCTATCACAATTGTCAAATCGCAATTTCAGATTCGTGCAAATATCCAATTATTGTTTGGACAGTCTTGCTATAATGGTGAAGTCAAATCGAACTTTTAAAAGATGACGTTTATAGAAATGCGCATTCAATCGATCACTTTGAGTGCAGCAAAAAGAGTGCAGCAAAAATAGTGAAGACTGTAATTTACATTTTTTAATAATCCCTTTTGCATATTTTTTATATAATCTGTTGCCTATGCATTATACTGTACGAAATGCAAACTTGGGTATTTTAATCGATCGACGTTTGATGTAAGATGATAAATCAGTTTTTTGATGATCCCTTCTGCACCATCTTTCTTATCAAAAAAATTACGTTGGTGCAATTTATCTCATGTATGTCCGGACACAAAATGATGCAATATTCATATATTTAGATTCGCTTGACGAAAAAAGTTTGCATTATACTTTGTAATTAAGGCATAAAAAATCTCTGCGAAACGTTTACCAAAATATTATCACACACTCATAAATACGTAAACCACTCAATAAATCAAATCAAATGAACATCAAACAACAAATTATATTTTTTCCCCTAACTCTCAGATATCTTCCCACCCCTTCTCTAAAAATATGCAAACTCCACCTCCACTTTTAAATGTCCTAATGACACTTAATTGAGCCCTACGACTCTGGTTGAAATTGCCATTGTGCAATCGAGTTGATTTAGCGAGACACAAGATCAGGGTCAAGCCTATTATGTTTCCATAGAGGAACGGTAGCGTAACTTGGCATGTATTGACACAAGACCGTAGCATACAAAGAAAATAGAGTCAGAAATAAGATCAAATAACAGCAATCATAGCGTGTCACTGGCCACGAACAATTGACGTCAAATTTAGTAGAAAAAATAAACGCCTCGAAATGACACCAGGATCGGTGGCCATTACTGATCTACATTTTCAAGAACATCTGCAATGGTATAGATTTTAGAATACCAAAACATATAAAATTTTATATACTTCTTCAAACAATTACTCTTAATATATTTTTTACCTTTATTTTTGCTTAAAAATATTCTCGCTGGTGTTTAGCCATTTTTACAGAAAAGAGACATAAATCGAATCATGCATGCTTTCAGAATTAATTTTAATCTAACGAGTAGAGAAGGCCATAGGATGAACACGCTAGTTACACGTTAAATAAGTGCTAACAGGTACGAATTATGTGATCGTGAAATCGGAGACTCCAAAAATTACAGTTTGAACCGTCCCTTGATGATTACATGGTTGTATTTATTTATCGATATTATAACTGTTGACAGTTGTGTAATCTTTCATCCGAGTTATGCAGGCTGTAATTTTTTTAGCATTAAAGTCCTTTAACCTTGTAATTAAGAAAGGTGATTTGGTGTATGCAGTCCACATTTGCCTATGGGAAAAGGGGAATAACCTCGGAAGCAGCCACAATGTTGAATAACTTTTAAAAGTTTATGACATTTAAATATCCAGTTTAGTAATTTCATTTTTGTCTTCCTTACATCAGAAAAATAATTTATCTTCAAGAAATCTTTCTAAATATTATAGGCCAATTCAGTAGACATTAACTTTGTTCAGAGTACTGTATCATTATCTTAATTTAAAATACACACTAATTAAGCTGTAGAAAGGGAAAATTTTAACTGATACATGTACAATACCCAGGAACTGTAAACTTCATCTAATGAAGAAAAGTTCAGGGCCAGTAGATCCTAAAATAAGGGGACCATACTCTAATACATTACAGTGAACATAAAGTTGTACAAACATATCACCTGCCTGTTAGCTTGAGTCAGATGTCAGACCGTGTGAATGGATGCTTTAGATGAGGATATGCTGGAATCATCCGTGTCACTCGGGCTCAGTTTCTGTTCAAATTCAGTCGCCTCCATCATGGCTTTGTCTTTCAATGCCATCTGGTATGCCACCTCGAAGGCTTCTCCGAGGGTCATGATTACCTCCCTTGCTAGGTCCTGGATAAAGAATTGTTAGACACTTAAGGTTTCTTTAATAAGTAGTGAAAAATCTAACATAGACAAACAGCATAGGAGTTGTACCTTCTGAATAATCATATTTCAATGAATATGATGTGTAATCTATAATATTAGAAATTATTGGGAAGCTAGGTCTGTTTATCAATTTTATACATTTCAGTACCTGACCGCATTCTGAATCTTTGATATATATTAATATTTTACTTTCAAGTAAATTAGTTGAATCTGATTCGCCGAAAAACACTCGAATAAAAATACAAATACCCTCTGAAGAATGAAACCCCGCCCTCCAGTGGGATAGAAAGTAGAAACAGTCAACATGTCACTTGACAACAAGTGGTAATAAAAAAAAAATGTTGACTATCCATGTGAAATCTATGCGTGTATGGTTCACCATGATTATATTTGTGTAAAACATTCAGTATATTAAACAAAATTGCATGTAGTTGAAAATAACACTGAAAATTTTTACCCAAAGAAAACCATTGTCAACCAACGTGCCTCGGTTGAAAATGGTTTTCTTGCAGTGAAAATTTTCAATGTTACCCTCAACTACATTCATTTGCAATATTTATATAAATAAATATGTAGGAGATATTGGCAATACACAAAGTGAAGAATATAAGGGCCCACATGTAAATGAAGTTATAATCTGTACATTTAAACTCTGGCTGCATTAGGTAAGTTTTTGTGTGACTTGGGATGTGCCTGTATCTCTTTGAAATACAGTTGAAGAGAGAGCAGAAAAAAAATTCTGCTGACTATAAAAAAAATGACTCCACTATACAGTACACAATAACCTAGTTGTAGCCATAAAAACTGAAAACAAATATAGTCCACTGACCACAAACAAGGATCACAATACTAAAATGTTGATATACATCTTCCTTGACAATGGAGCCTATAAACAAACAAAGGCGTCAACAAACGAGTGGGACAACCCTGGTAGACAGTCCAGCTCAACGTAAACATGTCAACACCGTGGATACCTAATGGAGTGTGCTGATCGCATTCACTGCTCGTAATTAACAGTAAAATCCTCACAAGTGTATCAGCAAAAAAAAATATTTTGATAAACTGACTGAATGAGATGGGGTGTTTTGGTAGGATCTAGTTATTACATTTGGTATGACATATGATAGGGTTGGGGTGATTTTTACGAGTTTATCAATTCAATGTACAATCCTTAATCATGATAGATCTCCTGAAGCCAGGATCTCATTGATTTTAATTTGTAAACATGAGAAACGGAAATGAGTAATATAATCACATACAAATTTTAACCAAACCTATCACATAAATATTGTTTTAGAAAAACACAAAATATGAGATTGGGCATTGATGAATCAATGTGCACTAACAATTCTGAGTAATAATAAAATCACAAGGAAATATGCTTTAACTGTTGAAGCTTCAACTTTAAAGTATCTTTATAAATAACACTGCCTTAATATCAATTTTTAAATTTTTATTTTGTTATAAGCATGCTGACATTTTTTACTTGTGGAACAATCTGATACAATCACGCTGATGGCACTTTTAATGTCAAACTGGAAAATTTTGTAATTTAGAGAATAATGCAACTGATTGCACATGGAGCATTATATAATGAAACTTACAATTTAGAAGTACAAGAGTACTACATGTAGAATGGTTAAGACAAGCTTTTGACATTACTTTATTTTTCTATAGATATATAATTTGATGCCATAAAACCAAGCCTTTACAGAGAAGAAAAGTTGAAGAATTTGCCTAGTAAGCATTGCCTATGACGATGAACATACAGATACAATATAGTGAACAGAAATGGTTCATAGATGCCTACAGCATACACTGCCTCTGTGTAATCCAAAACTCCTCTTTGCTGTTAGAGGCATTGTTACACATTTCATTCAGGAAATTTGTCAATGAAAATTAACTCTTTTTTATCTGCATGTGCCCCACAGCCTGTTGGAACAAAACCACTTTATTTTCAATGACACGAGGAGCAGTCGACTTTTGTCAACAATCAGTGACCTTTGTCCCCGGACGATTTAAATCTTTTGTTCCCTCAATCTGATAAGAACCCACAATCAAAATCATCACATTTTTCCTTCTTTGCTTCCAGATTTCCTCACAAAAGGTGTGTCTTTTATATCAAATAAATACCATTATCATTCGATCGGGGATCATTATACGTGCTCTCATTGATTCTTGGCAATTTAACTCTTTCTTTCGTGAAAAGTCAAAATATGCAATATTTAAACTGTGACAAAAAATCTACATATATTGATATCATACAATACAGCTTCCATTAAATCAATCACTTTAAGGCTATTCGGACAATGCCACAATGGGCGATTTTCGAGGCACATATATCAATATCATTTAATGCCGGCCAATAACAAATACATCATCATTACACAACGCTCGTGATTCGCATTAGTCATTATGATAAATGCCAAACACCCCTAATTGCTGTTATGACATGAGGGGATAGTTTGCACGAGTCCCATTAGAAGTTTTGTTGTAGTTTCTGCATTTTTTCCCTCTCTTAACAAATTCCATATTTAGGCCATTGACAATCTATTGTATGATAAATTTATCACCATGCATATTGACCCAGAAGGGAAATATAAGATGATTTATAATCTTGTGTGTTATATGGTACAAACAAAACAAATGGATTATTTTCATCAACAAAAAATGTAAATTTCTTACAAATATATGTCACCCGTCCTGTGTGCATGCATTAAATCAACAGTATAAATGATTTAAGCTTGTTATCATGGATTGGATTATCTTTGCAAAAATATATAGGTACCTCAACTAATCAACGCCCTTAGATCACTCAGTAATTCATATCTGAAGAACATTATTACACAGTATGAAAGGTTAACTTCCACTGATCAAGACCTTTAAAGGGGCGCCTTATATTTAGGAGAATCTTTATGATTAAATGCATCATTATGTAAAGATTTTTCAAAAATCATGAAAAATTTTTGGTAACGATTTCTTAGTAACTATTTATCATTGCGGAGGATGTATATAATTTTTGTAAAATTTGACATCATAAATATCGATCGATTTGATATATAAAAGTTTTTTGTAAATTACACGAAATCTACATGTATGCCACCTAAAAAAAAGCAACTGACAGAATTAACAGCTTCACAATAAATCTTTCTTAACTCCGCCATTTTGAAACTACTACAGAATGAGGTCATGCACATGGTTGCGCAAACTCAATGTAAAAAAAAAATCTTTCAGAATAATTCACTTATCAGCTGCGTAGAAAACTGCTGCACACATTCACTGGAGAGCTTACGAAATCATTAATAATGCAATTTCCTTATATAGTCATTTGACTTAACCTTCTTTTAAATACAGTCCATTTTAAGACAGCTTTACGGGACAAATTAAAGTAAACACAGTTGTAAAATTAAGAAAACAATATTAGATTGTGTGGGTGTAATTGATGGAGAACCAGAAAAAATTTAATTTCTGTTGATTAAAAACAAAATGAAAATTAAATCTTAAAAATATTCTTTCTATCTTAAATTCCTCTACTGCACTAATAATAATCATGTAGTTACCGATTTTTTTAAAAGAGAAAGGATAAAATGCATTTACACCTGTTTACATTCAAATTTTTTCCGTAGATGAAAAATATAAATATACTATACCAATATATCTACTGAGTTGACTATTCTTTTTTCGTCTTACATACTCTTACTAGTTGTATTACGATAATACAATAGTTGTATTAACTACATTAATATTAGGTATGCTTGCATCTACCCAGTATAAGGCAAGAAGGATGACCACAGCTCATTTGTCAAGAGACCCACAGAAATTTTTACATACCCCAAGAGGAAAACAACCAGCCTTAAACTTAAAACCTAAATGGGAAAACCTTGACTGCATTTCATGCCAGAAATAGGAGCAAATTGCTTTTAGAGCATTTTAGAAAACATAGTAAATTATGCAATGGTCATCTAACTGTATTGCTTGATCACATTAAGATATTTCAGTCTTCTTCAGCATGGAGTTATTAGTCGATCCCAATATTTACTTTTTTGGACAATATCAACAGTGATTTTTACTAAAGCATTCCTGGGAAAAACTATACTTACCCGGTAATTGAATTTAATGTAAAATACTTTCACAAAATTTAAGAAGATAAACATCTATAGAAGTTCTGTAATTTAGCAATACTTATAAGACCAGAGATAAAAATTCCATCACAAATACAAAATTGAAAACAGCAGAGATAAATGTAAATTAATTCTGACTTCTGAAAATTACAATATGAATTACAATGTACAACTGATTTTCATTTACACTAACACCTTGCACACAACACACCTTACATACAGATGCAGCCCCCCACTGGGGGATCTCGTTTTCTGACCCTGACAGATGTTGCTTCATCAGTCTGCCCCTCCCAAAATCTAACCAGGGGTAAAATCTATGGAATCCCCCAAACTCAGAAATCACTCAGCTAGAAGTGTTTAACAAACTGTAAAATTCAGTACAAAGGGAGATAATGCTATTTCAGTACTCCAGGAAAGAGAATTTACAAGTTTGTGTCTCATTGTTTCTCTATCAAATATAAGGGCCAGACTGTCTATAGCACTCCAGAACATCAATAGAAATCAGATTCATTACAAATTCAAAATAAAAAAAAAAAATCAAACCTTTCTTAAAAGAAGAAAAATTCCCCTTTTAGTTTCTCCTTTTAAAGTGATTATATACATGTACTACTGAGGGTTGGATTAATTAACACAAAATTATTAATAATCAAACAGGATTTATGAAAATGACCTTATAATTACTTTATATGCAGTACTGAAGTATATGCATTATAATGATAAAGAAAAAAGTACTTATTACAAAGTACTCTAAATTTAGAAAAATTACCAGAATCTGTGTATATATATACAAAATATGAGAATCAGTCCAAGTACTATGTGGCCATTGTGCAGCCTTAGTTTGCTATGAATTCTAACTTACTGCTGTTCGACAGCTGAACACATGACAATAATGTCTGGATGTCTGGTTGTCCCGTGTGATGTAAGCAAAGAAATTCATGCTCTGGGCATCCTGGCACGCACAGAAGATGTTCCCAATCTCATGGTCACAGATGACCTTTTTGGATTTGGCATCAATAAATTTCACTCCTTTGTAGGATATTGACAACAAAATGGTGGGGATTTTGGCAATGATGTCTGCTGATTTCTGTTAATAAGAAATAAAAACATATGAGAATTATGAAGAGGTGAGATCTCTCTCTAAGAGAAGAAACAAAAAATGCATCCATCTAGTGTCCAAGAATCTTATGTCCATATTATACCGGTATGACTTTACATGTTTGATTGATTACACATGTATATATAATTACAAACTGAATTATCTTTTAATCATTAAAATTTCGAAACAATTTTTAATAATCATTTGTTAAAAAAAAAAAATTTAAGGCAATTTACAATGTAATCTTGATGGCAAAGAGAGAGCTGAAACATAAGTATGGATGTTTTCTCGTGCTGTGAGAGATGGATATGTTTCTCAATTCTTTGAAAAGTTAAAACATTGCCTCAAAATGGAAAAAAAAATACAAGACAATTCTATCACTGAGTGATATAAATTTAAGATGTCAAGCTATATAGAGACATGAGGGAAGCTATTTAGTAGATCTTGACAGTTCTGAATGGCTCGGATTCAATAAGATCAAGGAGATTAAACGGAAGACCCTGACAATTCGTATTAGTTCATATTTCACTATTACATCTGTCAAAGAAAGAGGAAATTTTAATGCGTAACTCTGTGTAGAAGTCACATGATTAATGATCGAGTGGCCTTTATCACTTTCACAACTGAAGGTTTTTTTTTCCGACCACATCACTTAGGAGCCTTCCAGCAATGGTCTGTTTTTTGCGCTTGATTTCTGCTACTGATGAACACCAAGAATTAGCATTTTTCAAATTAATTTCGCTCTTGAAGACTGTCTGAAATCAGGGGTACTGGCATGGAAAATTTGATATAACTCGTGGATCTGAAGAAAAAAAACTATCTCGTCTTATAAACTGAAAACGATGACTTTCAAGTCCCAGGCTTGGCCTCCCATGGGATTCAGCATCCGAAATGAAATATGCTTTTTTAAATCTCTAATTTCTCTGGATATGTCTAGCATCTTTTGATCACATATGACTTATGAGCTTACAATGGGATGGGAATATTATCAAGAGTTATTGAGAATGCATTGGGCTTACTCAAGTGTGATGGTCCAATCATGGCCAATATTAAGTTTACATTTCATCTTTTAATCCCTCCACAAGAAATAAATATCATCAGTCAGGTTTTAATATGCCCTGGGATCTCCAGGCACTGAACAGGCAGATGTAAACCATTTAAATGTCATTTCATAATGCTGCTAATTTCAGTATGTACATTAAATTATGTATGTATCTTAAAGATGGACAAAAACTTTATCCATAAAATCTGTTTGCAAGAAATATTAATTTTTGTGGTCTCCCTAAAACCAGTACTCTACTTTACAAAAGAATTCACAAATAAGACCAAATTATATTTTTTGAATAACTTTCTTGTTTACATTAATAGGAAAATGAATTTCATCTTTTTTAAAAAGAACTTAGAAAGATATTTTATACGAGCAATCGAAACAGACTCATTAATTTTGGAAGATTTTAGAACCAACTTAAGTTTTTGGTCTAAGTCGTAAGTTCTTTTGTACGCCAAGCCCCTGATATCTTAATGGATCAGGTTATGTCTCATAAACATTGAAATCAAAGCAGAATTGTTATATTTGCAAAACAAATTGATTTCCCCTGTATAATGACTTCATTAATTAGTTTTAAATTTTTGAATGTGAAATAATCAATACTGTATATATAAGTCAGATTTTTTGGGAGTCAAGTGTTGGTCCAAAACTCAATGTACGACTTATAAGCAAGTCCTACAAACATTAGTATTTTATATGTAACTCCAATGATAATCATTTATAAAGGTAGAACTTAATCTTATGTTTCTTTAATGCAGGAAAAGAAGATCTAAGTTTACAAGTTTACCAGTGCAAAAAACAAAAGTGCTTACAGATTTTAATGATCATATTTCTGTTTAAATTGTAAATTCAAAATACACAGTAATCAATTTTAATATGAAAATCAGCTACACCAGAACAGACCAAAGTAAAGTTTATTAGTCCCCTACAGGTGAAACCAGAGGAGACTATAGATTTCCTTCTCTTCTGTCTGCCTGTCTGTCTGTCTGTCTGTCCGTCTAGCTGTCCCTCGGTCTGTCAGTCTGTCCCACTTGGTTTTCTGTAGTTTTCCTAAAAGCTTGCAGATATTGAGTGATATTTGGTATGTCAATGTACCTTGATGAGTTACAAAACAAGACTGCATTTCGATCTGCATCAATGATGTCTTTTCTTTTTTTTTTTTTAAATTTTTAAGGGGGACAGATTACAAGTGCCTGTAGGGCTGATTAATATTGTTTATGCAATACTCTCAGAATGCTTTTTTTATCATAAAGAACCTAAAGAGATATACTATGAACATTTCAATTCTCACCACCCATAGTATTTAGTTCCTCAAGAATACATAGAAACCAACCATCTTAAAATATTATTCATAGTGCATCACGTGCAATTCACATATTTCAATCATGTATTTTTTTTTAACAGAAATGTATGAGGAATTCAAAAATTATATTTTCCCTGGCAGAGGATGTAAGTTTCAATGGTAAGATCTTGTTTTCTTACACATTACAAATTAACAAATGTGACCATTGACATTTTTAGGTTTAGTCCATTTCATTATGCACAGAAAAGATATGCTTCACTTAAATTTGCAGATAATAAAATATCTCTCATCAAAATGAATAAAATGAAAGTTTTAAGAAGAAAAATGCTGCAGAGATCTTTAAAGATAGTTTTAAATTAGCATGAATGCAATGGTACATGCGACATTGAATTTTATTCTTGACATGCTTTTTGAGCATTGATAAGTAGAAGAACCATGCATGGTCATTAAAAAAATATAAATAAGCTAAGAAATTTCTTCATATAAATTGCATTTTACTAAAACATGTCACCAATATTTTGAAAGTGTTCCTTGATACAGTCCCTGAAACGTTCTACTTTCCCACTTGAACGGTGAGCGAACGGTGAACGAACGGTGAACGAACGCTGAACGAACGCAGAGCGAACGGTGAGTGAACGATGTGTGAACGCTGAACGCAACTTGGTGAACGATGTGTGAACGGTGAACGGTGAGCGAACGCAGAACGCGAACGGAGCGCAAACGCGAGCGCAAAGTGAACGGTGAACGAACGGTGAACGCAAGATGAACGATTTATTCGGAATGCCTCTGATCTTTTCCTTGCATTGAAACTATTCTATTGTGTTCTAATGCTTGGTGCTAAAAATAAATTAATAAATAATAAATAAATAAACAAATCAATGAAAATTGTCCTAAGAAAGACGATACATGCACATTAAGTAAAATTATTAATTTAAGTTTCTTGCAATATTTTCTGCACGTAAGTACGATGTTTAAATTCAACTTTTTAATAACACGATTTTTATCGCTGTAAAACATTGTAATTGTTAACGAACGCTGTAGTATAACAGATGAAATTAATCTAGTTGTAAAATAAATATGTTTATTTTTATTTGATATATAAAACCATTGCAAATAATGTGGATTTTAGAAGAGAAAACTACGGACTTATAGAATGAATTACAACGGCTGTAACAACCATACAAGGGATTCCGTGTAAAATAATGGGAAAAAAAATTACAAAGGTATGCGGACCTATTGCATAAATACACTCGTATTTTAAAATCTTAATGCAATAATATATTTATGTGTCAGTTTTATTTTTTTATGATGATTTATTGAGCGGACTTCTACATGTATCTGTAGACATTTCCCGTCGTGATTATACTCGGACAAGATGATACAAAGAGGCAATCATGTTATTTGTTATATATTAAATTTTCACAACTTGATATTTAAGTAATATGTTGGCATAGTTTTTATTAAACAGACAAATGAGAGAGAGAGAGAGAGAGATTCGGTTTTAGCCCCCCCCCTCCTTAAATGTTTGCACCTATATCAAACAAAAATTCTAATTCTTTTCTAAATATATCAGGCAGTGAAAGTATCCTTTTTTTTTTTTATCAACAAATCCATTTGTTTTACAGTCATAGTCGGTTTTTATTTTCCTGCTTCAAGTTCACACGAAGTCCACGTGCTTGACCTGTCAATCAAAATCATTCGACACTGTGCAGGTGTGAAAGTCTCGTCACACCGAAGGCAAAGTGTTAGTATTTCCAAGAAGTTTTAACATTTTTTCTTATCATTTCTAGATCTGATTCCAACGTTTCTAAAAAAAAAAAAATAAATAAATAAATAAATAAATAAATAAAATACATTGGGAAGAAACACTTGGAATGATTAAGCCGCTTGAATTTGAAACATACTCCCTGCCAATTTAAAATACATGTATCACCGCCGGCACATGTATATTTTGAACTACTTTTGTTTAATGAATTTGTTTAGATGCATGTTTGTTTTGAGACTGAAATTTTTGTGCTACAAAACACATTAACTTCTTTTTAAATGTTAACTAAAATGTACTGGAAATACTAAGTAAGTAACTGATTTAGGGGAAAATGGGGGGGGGGGGGGGGGGGGCTCTTATTAATATCGAATGACAGACATAAAGTTACGGTGAAAAATATCATTACCGGAGAATCACCTTGGTTATATAAATGATAATCATGTTATAAAGGCATTTCTCTCTCTCTAATTAAAGATCGACTTTATATATGTAAAGTAGAAAAAAATTCTTTAATGTATTACATTTTAAACAAATATTTTTTTTTAACCACACTATCAATTTAATTCGCTCTAAAGATATTTAATTAACTGGATATCCGCAGTACTGTTTATCATTCTCAGAACAAGTTCTAACATGTATTTCTGTATTATTTGAAAAAAATGTGATAGAAATAAATATTTTCGTATTTTTGTTGCAGGTGGTAAATTAATTGACTTCGATTACTATCTATCCATTTACGATTTGTCGTCTTTAACATAAAAGCAAAATGTTGCAGTACTTGAAGTATCAGTATTTTGACCGTATTTAGATTTAATTTTTCAGCATCGTTCTACATCGGTACATACATGTACATGTACTTATAACAACATTGATTTTCCACATAAATTTTATAAATAACCTAACAGATAAGTTACAATAATAAAAATAAATATTGTAGATAATTTTTTTCCCATGAAATAATGATTCTTTAAACACTGTATGTTATTTATTAAATTCAAAACCTGTAAATCCTTACTTAAAAAAAGATAAGTCCTTTCACTTCGGAGTTCCGAATGACACTGAAGACTGAACGATAAGTGAACGCTGAACGCAAGGTGAACGCAAAGTGAGCGAACGAAGAGCGAACGGTGAACGCTTTGTGAACGGTGAACGCGAGCGCACGGTGAACGCTGAACGCAAAACTGTGAACAGAGAGCGAACGGTGAACGCACGGTGAACGAACGGTGAACGCACGCTGAACGAACGGTGAACGAACGGTGAGCGAACGGAAAAATGGGAAAGTAGAACGTTTCAGGGACTGTATCAGGGCATGCTCAGTAGAATTAAAGGACATGAAACACCAAGATGTGTTAATATTTAAACAATATTTAGACAATATTTAGACATGATGAAAGAAGGATAACTCTTGCACAATTCATGCTTATGTATATATACAATGAATAGAAAAAATATGCAAGGGAAAAATACTACAAAAAATCAAAAGGTTGGAAAAATCATTTACCTTGTCTAACAATTTCAACTTTTAAAAATAAACAAAATTAAATTAATTCTATTGAAACAATGAACAACATATTCTTATGCATGCACCAATTAACAGCAATATTTAATCAAAACACAAGAACAGTTTAATCTAAAAAGGTTTTTAAACAGATCAAACAATCTATGACATACTACAGACAACATCAAACCAACCTGGAGTTTTTTCCTAAATTTCATCTGTTAATCAGATTGTGGTCAAATTGTAATCACAGTTAAAACGTGTATCTCAGTGCATGTATACATGACCTTGTTGATTAATGAAGATTGATTAATTCGATTGATGTGTTAAAAATTTGAATTATATTCCACAAAGTGTCATTTATAATAAGAATAATTAATTTTTAAGACTTGTTACCCATATTAAAAACATACACAAATGTCAAGCTTTCAGTGTTAATTCCCTTTGCATGTGTGTCTTGTGTGTATTTGATGCTGCTCTCCATTACATCTTAATGATAAGAATGGAACTTATTTTGTACTAATGCCTATGCTTCATATAGAGGAATATGACAATTTTTACCTTTAGTTTAGTGATGCCTTCTATTGTAGACTCTGTTCCAATAAGTTCCCTGACTAGTGTAGAGCCCAGATACTAAAAACAAAGAAATTCAAATCTTTTTAAATCATTTTTTCTCTCAATAAATCAAACTGAAGTTTTAAACAAACCTGATATTGTGCAAAAAAAAAGTATCTTTATTAGCATACAAGGGAGATTCTTATAGGGTTTCACATTTTATTTTAAAATTGACTGTGTATCTAATTTATTTTAAAATTACCTGTGTATCTTGAAACTCATGGCCAGTGAAAATGAGTCACTCAGAAAAGTTGTGAATTTTCCAAATTATTCCTGTCCTAATTGATGTAGACCTATATTACCTCCAGCCCTCTTCATATAAGACATCTTGATAAAACCTACCTGGGCAGAGTAGTTACAGCAGCCTTTAACTAACATTTCTGGCCGATGCCTCCATTGTTTGATGGGGGTAGCAGTATTAGCTTGATGGGGAGGTCTGATGTGTATTGAACTGTCCCTCAATGCTTTACCCTAAATGAAGAACATACATGTGTCAAGATTTAACAAAACTAACCAAATCAGACATGACTGAAATTTATTTTAATGTTTAATGTTTTACACAGTCATTTGAAAGTTTCAATGACTTTCCTTCTCACCCATCAGAAAAGCATACTTGAAAATGTTTATAAAATCAATGTATTAATTTGAATATCCTGAATTTGAACAAAGAGTATAAACATATGGCAAGGAAGCACATCATTTCCTGTTTTGGACATACACAGTGTTTGATTGTTAGCATATATATTACAGTACTTTAAAGCACAACTAGGATGTCTATGTATTATACTACATGTTGTATCCCAAATTGTTATAACCATTTCAATTCTTCTGGTGATTTTTTTTTTTAACAAAAGAAAGAAAGAAAAAAGAGAAGCTTCACAGATGTTAATAGAATCAAAATCTCAGTATAATTTATTTACAAACTAGAGGTCCTGTAAGCACACAAAATGATACCCCCTGCTGCGTACGAGTATAATGGCAAAGTGCATATTTTTGCAGCATGTAAATGAGATTCTGTGAAAGTTCAACTGAATTTCATTCAGGAGTTTAGGAAGAGCTGCATTAGAGATAGGTAAATCCCATTATTATAGGTAGTGTCCGTTTGCTATGGAAAACCTCAAATTAGTGTTCATGCAATCAAAACATTGAATAGGAGATGCATGTAATAAAGATATTGTGAAAGTTTCATTAAATTGCATTCAGAGGTTTAAAAAAAATTATGAAATATAACCTGGGCACCTATTAATGCCTATAATTTTACCTGTTCTTTACGGAAGACATCCTCATCCTCGCTGCTGTCTGGGAGGGAATTCTGGGATACCTTGTTTTCCTCCTCTGAGGACGAGGCTAGAGGTTTGACCTTGGTGTAGTCCTTATAGAGGTTAAGTTCTGGTTCTGAAGTGGGTTTATCCTCATCCTTGGTACGCTTCTTCTGTTTCATGAGGAAAACAATACATTTTATAAAGGGATGATTTTTCTTTGAATGGCCTTAATCCTTAACCCCAAAATTGACACATTATACTGACATCTATGTGCTATCAACAGGTCAACATCACTGAAATCATGCATCTTGTTTTTGTGATATCAAATATCCTTACTGTAAAAATCAAGACATCAGTATCGTACAACATTTTTCATGTACAGAAAATCTGGCAATTATGTTCTTCTTCATCATTGAAAACTCTTAAGAAAATTACCTTGAAAGACACTTCATTTTCTAACAAGAGATGTTTGTGAAACACTTATGGGGCATAACTCTGTCAAAAATTGCTTGATTGTACCCAAAAACAGAATTTGATCTAGATATTTTTATGATAAATTCTGTATACCAAATTTCATTTCAGTATGTGCAACCTCTGCGAAGAAAATGAGCGGAAACTGCAAATAATTGGAATTCTTCTAAGTCCAAGGGGCATAACTCTGTCAAAAATTGCTCGATCGTACCCAAAACACAACTTGCCCTAGATATTCTTATGATAAATCTGTATACCAAATTTCATTTCAGTATGTGCAACCTCTGTGAAGAAAATGAACGGAAACTGTTGGTGGACCGACAGACAGACAGCAGCAAAGCAATATGCCCTCCCTTCTTCAAAGGGGGGCATAAAAAATGCTAGAAAATGAAGTATTAAATGCTTCATCAGGTTATCAAATCAAAGAAATATTTTTTTTCCCTCCAGGAAGCTAAAACTGAAGATGTCAGTATTGAGTAGAAGGAAATTTAATTGAGATATGCAAGAGTTGCCTCTCTTTACATACCAGACTTGAGAACTGTCTCTCGGGCTTTTTCCTGTTTGCCAGTGAGGCCAGAATTCGTTTCCTGTGTCCTACAGCTGTGATGTCTAACACACTAGTCAGTTCTACTTCCCACAACTTCATCACACGATCCATCGTGTCAAAGTTTTTGTTCATGAATGTTTCCGTCTTGTCTGACAGATGTAGGGAATTCAACCAATCACAAACTGACGTGGGGAGGTTGTCCGGGTCTGAAATATCAAAATATTTATTAAGAAACTGTAGCAACAACACTTAAAATGAGCTTCAAATACTGGTATTCTATGTTTTTTGAGAATTTTAAGGAACACTGTCTTATTCCATTATTAACCCCAACCCCTAAAAAATGTTCAATATAATATAGGGCTGGATGCAGAGTATTCACAATCTGACAAAAAGAAACCTCAATTGTTGAGTTCACTCACAAATTATCCGCAAGCATATTAAACAAACAAAGGATATAGATGGTGGTGGGAATTTTTTTTTTTTATCTTGATTTACTTACTTTTTAAGATTAAGAATATAAACATAAGTAATCAAAGATTACGAAGCTCACCTCAATGAATGTTATCTATAAATAATGCAAATTTCACATCAGATTTTTTTTCCAGTTAGTGTACATCCAAAGATCAATATCCATGCAAGTTTGATTTAAGTAGGACTTATAGTTACTTGGAAATAGACCTGCTCAAAAACTTTAAACCTGTTTACTAATCAAGAAAATTTTGGTCAGTTCCAAAATCCGAAGCAATTCTGGAAGTTTTCATCCTTAGATGCACCATCTAGATTCAGAATCCAAAGCAAGTCTGGAAGTATCCATCCCTAGATACATTATCCATGCTAATTTGGTTAAAATATGGCAAAATTCACTCTTGTGGAAAATCTAGGTTGGATCAAGCATCTGAAGCAGGTGGGCTAGTGTACATCCCTAGATGCATCATCCATGAAAGCTTGGTCAAGGTAGGGCTTATAGTTACTTAGGAATGGACCTGCTCCAAAATCTTTAACCTGGTCACTCATGCGGAAAATCTAGGTCAAATCCAGCATCCCAATCAAGTGTGGTAGTGTCCATCCCTGGATGCATCATCCATACAAGTTTGGTCTAGTTAGGGCTTATAGTTACTTGGGAATAGACCTGCTCCAAAAACTTTAACCTGGTCATTCATGTGCAAAATCTAGGTCAGATCCAGAATCTGAAGCAAGTGTGGTAGTGTCCATCCCTAGATGCATCATACTTGAAATTTGGTCCAGGTAGGGCTTAGAGTTACTTTGGGATGGACCTGCTCCAAAAACTTTAACATGCTCACTCATCTGGAAAATCTAGGTCAGATCCAGAATCCGAAGCAAGTGTGGTAGTGTCCATCCCTAGATGCATCATCAATGCAAGTATGGTCCAGGTAAGGCTTATAGTTACTTGGGAACAGACCTGCTCCAAAAAATTTAACCTGGTCACTCATGTGGAAAATCTAGGTCAGATCCAACATCCGAATCAAGTGTGAAAGATGCATCATTCATGCAAGTTTGGTCTATGTAGGGCTTATAGTTACTTGGGAACGGACCTGCTCCAAAATCTTTAACCTGGTCACTCATCTGGAAAATCTAGGTCAGATCCAGAATCCGAAGCAAGTGTGGTAGTGTCCATCCCTTGATGCATCATCCATGCAAGTTTGGTTCAAGTAGGGCTTACAGTTACTTGGGAATGGACCTGCTCCAAAATCTTTCATCTGGTCACTCATCTGGAAAATCTAGGCAGATCCAGCATCCGAAGCAAGTGCGGAAGTGTCCATCCCTAGATGCATCATCCATGCAAGTTTGGTCTAGGTAAGGCTTATAGTTACATGGGAATGGACCTGCTCAAAAACTTTAACATGGTCACTCATCTGGAAAATCTAGGTCAGATCCAGCATCCAAAGCAAGTGTGGTAGTGTCCATCCCTAGATGCATCATCCATGTAAGTTTGGTCCAGGTAGGGCTTATAGTTACTTGGGAATGGACCTGCTCCAAAAACTTTAACCTGGTCACTCATCTGGAAAATCTAGGTCAGATCCAGCATCCATAGCAACTGTGGTAGTGTCCATCCTTAGATGCATCATCCATGCAAGCTTGGTCTAGGTAGGGCTTATAGTTACTTGGGAATGGACCTGCTCTAAAAACTTTAACCTGGTCACTCATCTGGAAAATCTAGGTCAGATCCAGCATCCGAAGCAAGTGTGGTAGTGTCCATCCCTAGATGCATCATCCATGCAAGTTTGGTCCAGGTAAGACTTACACATGTAGTTACTTGGGAATGGACTTGCTCCTAAAACTTTAACCGGCCGACCGCCGTCACCGATGCCGACGCTTTGGGTATAGCATAAGCTCATCTCGACTTTGTCGAGGTGAGCTAAAAAGGAATAAATTAAAAAAAAGTCCATTTAGTTTACGAATTATCAACCCTGATGGCTGTAGTAAAATCATCTTGTTTCACCTTGTGTTAAGCTAGAAGATGATTTAAAAAGCATCCTCTCTTAGATATAAAAGAGTTCCATTTACAGACTTCAAATTTAATACATGTATTCTTAATTTTCCCTCTTCAGGACATTCTGTGTAAGTTTATCACAAACAGAAAGCTGCTTGATACATTATTAGATACACCTGATTTAACCAGGGGCATAGTGAATAGGCTGATTTACTGGTGGTGTATAGTAATAGTGATATAAGGATGAGTTCTGAATGATGTATATACATATAAGAATCCCTCATCCCCACCCACAGAAAAAATTCCAATACACACACTGAGAAATAATGATTCACCATATTAAAGATGTTGAATAATAAAATCAGCTCTCTTCAGTCAGTTAAAGAACTTGGGAGCTAGGATTTACTTAATAGTATTTTATTTGTCAATATCTAAGCATAGCTTCTTTAGTATTTTATGCTAAAACAACATTTTCAGTGATTGCGTCTTTGCTGCAACTTACGATCATTCGTGGTACATGCATACAGTATATATGAAAACAAGTAATGGAGGTCGATTTCTTAAAATTTTACAATAAAATCAGTTGTAAAATTGTAAATTTAAAATGCAAAATTGTTTCTAACCTTCTAGTATGCCTATATAAATGAAGTTTTTTGATTATTTTACCGCATTAGCAGTTATTTTCTTTTAAAAGTTTTAATTTTAAGTCTTTATCATTCTTCCACACTGTGTGCATAATCCTGGGGGAGCATCTTACTTACTGGAACAAGCTTGGTAAGTACTGGCAATTATCTTTGGGACCCTGCTGAATGTGGTGGATGATTGGTTAGACAAAAGTAAGACTGGCAGTGAGCTGATCCTTACAAGTGAGCAACGGTTGGTAATTTGGTTGGGAGGTAGGGGTTGATACAGAAGAGTGTGGAATGGGATATGGAGAGTGGGTCTAGGAGTAAGCTGGGGGGGGGTCTGAGCCAGAGGGTGAGGTTGACAAGTAGCTGCAATCTAAGAACAAATGGTGGTGGTGGTGGTGGGAGTACTTACCTATAGGAGTGAGCTGTGACAGTGATTTGGCTGAGTCCAGGATCTTTTTCCTGTGTTCTTCTGAGGTAATTCCTATAGCTTCAAGGTCACTATCCTCCATTATCTGCTCTCCCTGTTAAAAATCACTACTTTGTATTAACTGAGAACAAAAGCAGATGTTGACAATCATACTAACATGAATAAATACATATACACGTGCTATATTCCCTCAGGAAGTGATTGGTAATGACGTAGGCTATTGATCATGCAGGTGATGTGGTTAATTCAGATTTACTCAGTGTCCTGTGTCATAGTTGTGTTGGGGATCTTTCTTACTTCAGATTAAATCATTCTTACTGTGGGGGACTCACCAGAAAATCTGTGTGGTCAAATCCATTAGCCACCAGCGTATTCTCATACTGACCAAGTCCGATCTCCTCTAGCCATTCCCCCACACTCAGGATCTGTCCGGGATCTAGAACAATATTTCTATAATTTCAGACCGATACATTATCAAGCAATAAAATTAACTTGGAAATAAATGTTAATCTCTTTTCCTTTCTTTGCTAGTTTTAATCTAATAGAGAAAATTTTATCTTGTTTTTTGAGATTTGCTTTATTGATTCATGGACTTATTACATGTAAATGAATTTTTTCTTTTTTTTTGATTTTTTTTTTATACATTAATTCATCAGATCAAATGAAGTTAATGACTCATCCCCACTGTGACAAACCTATACACTTAGAGTTCTGTATCTACTTAACTATCAATCTCTACTTACGGATGCATTAGATTATGCAATATATTATGAAAACAAAATTTAAGTATGAACATTGTACACATAAAGAGCATAAACATTTTTCATAATATTTGTCAGTGAATTTATAAACTCATTTCAGATTTTCAGCATAGTGAACGTAGATTTTGTAGCATGCGAAAGATAAGAGAGCCAAGGGGTTTTACTCTGCAATAGCATTTTGAGTTGGATTTGTTTTTGCACCCTGGCAAGAAATTAAGGCATAATTAAAAGCAAATTAATGCTTACCAATATCTTGAAAATTTGAAAATTCTAAAGCATTGAAAATCTTAAAAATTTCAACTCCTCATAACATCATAGTAATTGTGTTTTACATCATATGTCAATTACATTACATTATGAAAACTACACCAAGAATATACTTTTCTGACCCTTGAATATATAACCAGTTCCCCAAACCAACTTTAATTTGATTACTTTTAATATTTTATCCTTAATTAATTTAGCTTTCTGATTGAACCCAGAGCTCCAAGGGTTTTTAATAGGGACTTAGCTTTGGTATCCATTTAAATACATCAACAGAAGACATAAGAAGTACACCTAAAATAATTGGAGACATGGAGACAAAAATACATACACTGTTGTAAACTATCAGCTAACTTTTTCAGAAAGGCTGGTTCCATTTCTCTCATAAACACAGACTCTCTGGCAATTCCACCCCCAAACGATGCCATTATGTCTTCAATCTAAAGAACATGCAAGACTACAAGTGCAGAAAGGTCATGCACAAAATGAGAGGAAAGTATATATATTTTTACAGGAAATCTGCAGCTTTCAAAACCTGCCCCTTTTTAGTATGGGATAAAAAAAAAATTATGGGAAAACCTGAAATCCATCAAAAAAAATCTTGTTAATGGCATCATTAGTTAGTAGAGAAGTTAAACACCAGCATGGGTTTCATGTGAGGTGCATGGACCTAAATTTTGTACCCTAAAACTAAATTCTAATTCTAGGTTTTTGTTTCTTGTTGCTGTATGTCATCAATCCATATTTATTTTTTTTGGTTATTTTTTTTTAAATCTGCATAAAATTAACTGAATTAATGACTAGAAATTTTATTGTGCCTGTTGGATGAAACAAATTTTCATTGCATGGCTATATGTTCCAGGACAGAAGATTTTATTTTTAGCAGATCTTTGTTACTACGCAGAAATATATATGCAGGTATTTTCATGTACAAATGATTAATTAGTAAAGAGCAATCACAAAGAAAATAGTATTGAAATTGAAAAACAGAAATTCATTCTGTTCATGCATAGCCTAGATATGGGCAGATTAATGTGTGAAAATGCAAATAATTTTGAAAATCTCATCAGATGTATATGAGAGATATTGCGAGTCATCTCAGCATGCTGGTGTACCTCGGTTGAGCATCTTTAACTCAGCTTCAAATGAAGGCAGGTCAGTGTATACCCCAATGTCTCCCCCAAAACTGGAGACAATGTCTGCAATCTAAAGGTCAAAGGTCATATTTCATACATAGTCCATAAATACAAATATTTTTCAATATTCAAAAAACAAAAAAATTCTTTGAAATACAAGAGATGAGAACTACTGGTCAATCATTTCTGATGTTTAAAGCTGAATATTTTTTAACTTTGTCAGTACAAAATTTTATCTGAACTATACCAATACAGGTATATTAGAGAATAATATGGACCTTAATTAGCTATTGCTACCAGCTTCCTTCAAAAATATTGGCAATACTATCATCTAAATTTGGTAATACTGAGGTCAAGGTTAAAAGCCTGGCAACAATACCACCTAATGTATTTAGGATTTTAATATTCAGCCAAATCAAAGTTACAAACAGAATACTCTTACCTTTGCCCATTCTTCATCATCATCGGCACCCTCTTCTTTCCCATGTAATCTGGACTTTCTTGGCTCATGTGTTGACATGGCAATGGTTGCCATATTCTTTTCAATATTTTCTTCTTTCATGGGGTCAAAAGTCATTGCCATGGCACCAGGCAAGGACTTCCTCTTTGAGGACCATGAGTTTCTGTGTGCGACATTGTCCGTAATTTGGGTCACTACAGTTCGCGGTCCACCGATCACAGAGCCCCTGTACAGACCTACAAGAACAAAGTAAACCATCATTAACACAAATCTACAACTGCAATGTTAACACATTTACTTATCCTAGTATATTTTATGTCACCTGCAGCGGTGGTGTTTGTGTTTCTCCTCAAGGAAAATTCTTACATCATTAATCCAACTCTAATTAACAACCACCTAGTTAATTAGTCTGCAAACATTTGATATGTACATGCAAGTACCCTAGAATCTTGGCCCCAAAGTATTTTACTTCATGATACATATATCTTATCAGTCTTTTGATCCACGTCTCTAAAAATAGTCTTGAAAAAATTATTGCTTGATGAATTCTAATATTTTTTAACTAAAGAGTTTTAACAAATATCTGATCATATCGATAGTTACAGTATTTCCCTGAAATATACAGTTGCAGTTAACTTAGTTACATCCTCAGCTGTAGGTAAAAGAGACTCAGGTAACTTGATCAAGCTGTTTCCATGTGGTATAATATTTTGACCATAAGATCTATCTAGAGTAAAATATCGTATGTGTATACCAAACAAAGTAAAACATGAAAACATCAAACTACAAACAAACATGGTTACATATATTGCACTACATTAAAACATGATTGCATCAAACTAAAGTAAAACATACTGATTGCATCAAACATGGATTTTAATATATATAGCAGAATATGATTATATCAAAACTTTGGTAAAACATATTTACATAAAACCTCCCATAAAAATATGATTATATATGAAACTACAGTAGCTAGCCCATGATTATGTCAAGCTACAGTAACTTGGTTATATCAAAATGGTAGAACATAGTTATGTCAAACTACAATAAACCATGATTATATCAAACTTAGTAGAACCATACTACAGAAAAACATGATTACACCATACTACAGAAAAACATAATTACATCAAACTATAGTAAAACATGATTACATCAAACTATAGTAAAACATGATTACATCAAACTATAGTAAAACAGACATCAAACATAATTACAGAAAACCACATGCAGTATACATTGTAACACTGGTTTTATCAAACCACAGTAAATCATGATTACATCATATGTACCACAGTAATAAGTATGTTACATCAAACTACAGTAGAACATGTTTATATATATTAAACTACTACACTGTAACAGATAAACATGGTTACATCACATTTCAGGGACTAGAACTTTTTAAATAAAACTAATGAAATCAAAGGAAAACTTATTGGAGATAAATAAATAATGATGAAATATTTTTCATTTTAAATAAGACATGTTTTCTTTTCTCACAATAAGAACAATTCAATGTAAAGAAAAAGTTGACTTTGAAGCCTTTACCTTTAAATACAAAGAAATGACGTACATTTTTTCCACATTATCAAAATTCAGAAAAAGTTCCAATTCCAAGTGCCAATTTTGTTCCCACACTAATGAAAAACAGATTCTGCATAAATCATTACTCCTCAACCTTCAATTAGCACTTACAAATTAGCACAAAGCTCAAGCCACAGTGGGTCCTAAATTAATGATTTTTCAACACCAAAAACATGTTTCCTTGAAAACAAGATGGCAAAATTTCCAGAAGTTGAACTTGAATATGTTAAAATTACATCATCAACCAATAGGCCCTTGAACCATTATGTTTTACTGGGTAATGATTAAGGAGTATGTGTTACTCATGTTCTAACACAAAAGGAAACCAACTTAACTGTAGCTGTCTCTTCATTTTTTTTAACAAATACATGTACAACAATTTGATATATTTAATAGGCATATTATTGTGTTGTATTAGATCACAATTCATGTTGTAATATGCAACTCAACAATTTTTCTTCTTTCTTTTTTTATTAAGCAAAATTTATTATTTCTAAATTCTTTTCCTGCAGGCAATGAGATTTTCTAAACAATTAATGCTAAAGCATGAAAATTCTTGGGACTGGCCATTGAGTAAATTAAATAACAGAAATTTTTCATCTCAAATTCATGCCAATTGATTCATGTAATAATGTATAACCTTTCATGTATTATCATAATTCTTGAGTATGAAGCACTTCTTAGTTAATATGTATGCCTATCCTACAATATAAACGTTTATATAACTCCAAAGTTACTGTAATATAACAAAGAACTGCATAGCAAATATATTAATCTACATAAAATATCCCTTCCGTCATTATACAGTTAAGATAAGCACATGCAGAAAAGCTGTTAGGTGCAAAGAAACTGACAAAGTTCGGTTGTAAATCACTGCATGATTCTTTTTTCTCTAGCATGGCCCAGGAACCCATGTTTCTTTCACATTTCTCTTCATTACTAAGGTTCATAATGTGTCAGCTCTTTACAGATCATCAAACTGGATCTCCATCAAGCACACCTCATTGGTAAACAAGACAAGCCAGATGCAGAGGTTTTCTGCCCATCCCATTGTCAACAGATTGCGCAACATGTATACAAAGGAAGTTCTGTTCATTAACTAAGTTGAACAAAAGCAAAAAAATGCACTAGATAAATATATGCATGATCATGATGATAAAGAAAACAAACTGAAGTACCATCAAAGTAAGATCAATGCTTCTGTAAAACACAGATTCTCCTGGAGAAATGCCATTTCCTTACTTCAAGCCTCCCACACCCCCCAAAAATGGGTCAAAGTGCAACTTTAAACTCTTCCCATATTTCCATAACAAAATTCGAAAGTCTATCATTTAAATACATAATAAATGTCCATTCATTTTTTACATTCATAAGTGTATATACATTTGTTATACCCATACCAAATACTATCATTACCAATATACAATAACAGAGTTGAACTGGGTCAAACACACTATAATTATGATGTGGTCATAAATAACATACATGTAAGCTCTATGTTAATTGTTAAATACTTACTAAATGTACATAGAAATGACACTAGTGCTGATGTAGCATATGGTTCATAATACCCAGTGCTGTTAATTATTCTATCCACATACCTTAATCATGTTAATTAAGTAAATTATTAACTTCTATTATAGAAATTTATCAACTTCAATAAAAGATATATCAAAGTCTCATATTTATGGTAAATCCTATAAGAAACTTCTAGAAAATTAAATACAACATTTGATCAGCAGTCACATGCATTTTTCATTTTTTAAAAAAAATATTTACGATTATAAACCGCGCCAAAAACTGAGTTCTGATAAGATGAATGTTGATAAAGTAAGATCAGATATGGCCTATCTTATAAAACTTCCCAATGTACATACCTTCTGTATACCAAATCCTCATTATTAAAAAAAAAAAAGCAGAACAATATTTCAAAAAATAAGAAAACTTTTTCAACTGAGTCAGCTAGCACAGATAAAACGTTGTGTGACTCCCGCCAAGCCTCTGATTGCTGCTGATTCAATCACCCATCTGAGTCTGATTATAAAACATTAAAGGAAGAGTGCTTGTCCTGCGAACCTTCCCGCTCAATCGTAAAAATTATTTGGCACTGCCTTACATCATATTACTGTAACCATGCCAGAGCGGTAATACCGTATTTTTTCCCATCATAAATACACTTTTTTTTAAAAAATACAATTATCTTGATCATCAAAAATATTAATATCTGGTAGTCTGGAGATGGCAAACCAACTGCAGAATGAAACTAAAGCTAATGAAACATACACATAATATACAGATATGTCTTACTAACCCATTTCAAGGTTAATTTAGATACCTGTCTGCAATTAACCCTACTTCCCCTTTACCTTGAGAAGTGAATTTCAAGAGTTTGTTCCAAAATCTTCCTAGATAAATTATTAATTGACATGATGAACCCCCCCCCCCCTCCCCTCCCTCTTCAATTTTCAGAATTACTAATGTGATATTATTTGATAAACTATATGGATAATGGAATCCCATAGGGCCATCCATTTTTATTCTTAATGAATTAGAAGTGTCCAAGCTATTCTGATATCTGGGGGGACACATCCAAAAAATATTTTTTATAATATATATACTTATTTTTCTGTAAATATGAACATCCTAATTCCTGACTGAAATACCTTATCCAAATGAAAAAAAAAACTGAAATGATGTCATCTCAAGATTTTGGATCATTCACACAAATCAATCTTGAAAAGCTATGGATCTCCCTAATGGCCACTTAATATTACTGACAATGGCAGTCAGGATAATGGCACTTCCTGGAACTTAATGTAGGTCAGTGATTCACATTCCTGTACAGGTGCATTCCACTGGGCTATAACTTATATTGTACCTGCCTGTGTGGTATGTGGATACTGACTTCTATATCTCTGAATTTCGGAAATGAATTCCAGTCTTCCAATATTGGTTCCTAGCCATCTTGCATTTCAATATGTGCAATGTGGAACATTTCAGCAGCAGGATTTTTTATATCTGCACCATTCAGAAACAATAAACATGCCTTAAATCAACATCAGGTCTTCAATGCATTTCAATACAGTAAACATCATTTTACAATCAATTCTATACCGCTAAACAAACATTATGCTTTCTTTTATTAAGGCATATTGAAGAATTGGCACCCACAATTGATTTCTGGAAAGCAACAAAAGATATGGCCTAGCTTACTCTCCTCCCAAAAACTACCTGTATCATAGAGAAAATATTTACAACAGATATTATTTGTGGGTGATGTAAAACATCTCTCTAAATCAAACACAGGGGCACCCTCTCCAATTTATGAATTCAGAACCAGATGAGGGGAAAAAATGGGTGTATAAAGATTCTCAAATCCAGATGAGTTTAAAGTGTTTCCAAGGACAGAAAGTGTGAGTTTTATTCTGAGGAAACTTAAAAGTGGTGTATAATTTCCCAAAATTTACAACCATTACCCTTTGAATCCAATATTGGCACACGTCTTTGCAAATCTTTACATTCTTGAATGTGCAGCACTTTGAGTGGCACTAGTTAATACAATGTTACAGACATATTTCATGCCAATGTTTGGTTAGACAGAACTGTAATATGATTAATGCTAGGAAGTAGACAAAAATCACTTCAC